GGGAGGGAGGGAGGGGAGGGAGGGATGGACTCATGGATTCAGGCATGCATGCTTGCATGAGGATATATGGTATATGCGTAAGAAACTGTAAGAAGATAACAATATGAGTGAGTGACTGCAGATTTAAACGGAAGACACGGCATACAAATGCCCGCTTTTGCAGACCCGACTTCATAAACTTGCTGGCGAGGCTGCTCGGAGACGTTCGCACCCAGATTTCTGGTCAGAGGTTTCGCGCTCAAGTCTATTGACATGGAATGCAAAACACAAGCGACACAGAGGTGGTGCGATGCAACAACCGATGCAACACTATCTTGTCCCACCTCAGCATCTGCGCTTTCCTGCCAGCAGATGACGAAATCGCAGGACATCTTCCACTCGATTACATGCACACATTCACATCAAATCGTACGAAGCCTGTCTTTGGCCACGGTGAGCGACAGAGCAGTCCCACCAGTACTGTGGTAGTTGTTGGTCGTGAGTCACCTAATCCTGGGATTCTGACCGAGATTCAAAAGCAGATTCTGAACCTTGATACCCTTGAATCTTCATCTCCACGTTCCGTTCAAGCCCTTCGTCTGCGGTACCTTGTTCTGAGGATTTAGAGCTTGCCCTCTCATCCCTTGTCCATGGTCATGGGGCGCGGTGCTGAATTCTTCATTGGCAGGGGCAATACCAAGGGATTTAGACTAGAAACGACGGATTGCTGACCTTGGGGCCCTCGCCCAGCCGGCTGCCAGTGCCGGGCCTGCTATCAACTGGGGTCCTGTGCCAGGCTCCTGCCGGCATGGGGCCCCCGGTATTGCAGTGTGCAGTATTGAGCCTTCAGTGTGCTTTTCCGTGGAGGGCGTTCAAATGCTCCCGGCGGCATCCCCTTTGCCGAGACCAGCCCATGCCTTCATGGATCGGGACGGATGTGTTTTCTTATGTGTCTCCCTTTAGTGGAGTCTGGCAGTCCACGATTGCTACGACTCCTGGCTGGCTTGTCATCGTCAGTCAATTTTTGCAATTTCGGGCGGAGCGCAATGCTCCCTTTGAAGTATTGGTCAACCCCTTTCCTGTTCCCATCGTGCACCTCTTCTGGAGTACACCGATGCTTCCTTTGGTTCCTCGTTGGCTTTCGTGAGATTTTCCTACAGTTTGGAGCTCTATGCTCCCCTTACTGAATGGGCATGGATGCTAAGCCCACCATCGTCCAGTACAAGCCACAGCAGCAGCAGCGGATTGCTGACCTTGTGATGAAAGGCTACCTGTATTGAACTCGAAGTCTTGTTATGTCTCTACTTGCATTGGCCTGCACAAGATCTCTGAGCGCTGGCATTGCACCCTGTCGGATGTGGCAACCTGCTAGATTCGTCCTTCCTGCCCTCCCTTCGATAATTCCCTTTTTTTGCCTTCGTCGCCCACAACAGTAAGAAAGCAGCTCGGCCTGGCAGCCAGCGCGGCCTGCTCTGCATCTTTAGCTGCGAAGTCCTGGTGCCCCAACCATACTCTGTCACATGCTCCCCATCGCACTCAGGTCTTCAAGCCTGCTGTTCAGGAGCACGCAGTGGAAGAGGCACTGCTGCGCCAGCAGCGCCTGCACACTCTGATGCTCGCCAGAAGCCAGCAAGGACACTGAGAATGCAGGTCGAACCTGATCTGGGCCGCTTCAGAGGTGGCTCCCCTCAAAGTAAGCGCTAAAAGCGATGCGAAGCATTAAACGAGGTTTGTCCTGCCTGGACCGGGGAGCGGCGCTCGATTTGTGATCGGGTTGGGAAAAGACTGGAGCTGCGAAGGCAGGGCTGGCAGGGCTTGTGGAGGCTGCACCTGTTGCAGCTGCACTTGCGGCAGCGGCTGGGGAATCTGCTGCAAGAGCCGCGGCTGCAGAAGGTGTGGCTGGGTCACAGCCACAGCCACGGCTCCCACAGCTCCGTATCCCGAAGCGGCAGTGACGGATGGCGAAGCAAACGCCTCAGTGCTACAAGGTTCCTCATCCACAGCCTGCATCGCAGCACAAGGCCTGGGCCGGCATCCTCGGCGCTGCCTTCTCAGCTGGCAAAGGGGCTTAGAGCTCAAAAACCAAAAAAAACAAACGCACACGGCCTGAGGAGTAAAGGTTCTCGGCCCTGTCTTGGCTTTGGGCAGGGCGGCAGACCTCCAAGCTGAGCTTCTTGGCATGAGGCCTCTCCATCGTGCGCCGAGGTCGTGGCTTGCTGAGCTGCACTTTGAGCGCGTCAATCATCTGCTGCCGTGCATCCAATCCTCTGTCCTGAAATGCGAAATTGTGCCGGCCGTACCCGCCGATGCACCCTTCAGATCCCTTCACCGAGGCAGCGGCCAGCTGAGCCATGACATCAGAGAATGCATCTCCCGATCCCGCGTCTCCCGCTGCAGCCGGACTCGGCTCCTCCGATGCTAGCGAAGAAGCGACGTTTTTTCTGGTCCAACACCAAGTTCTCCTCGTCATCGACATCGATGACGGCAAGAGTGGGCCTGTGTTCGAGGAGACATTGGATTGATGTCGACGCAAGCTGCGCTCGGCTGTGGCAGGCACGCAGTTGGGACCTCCGCTTCCTCTATCTCCTACATGTTGCAACAGCGCAACACCATTCGCACCATGCCCTCGAACAAACGCGGGCTCTTCTAATTTAAAACATGTGCTTCCTCGGCCAGGCTGAGTAACACTGGGCCATCGTCGCTTGGCCTCTCTAAGCCCCCAAACAGCTAACGGCGGCACCGCCAGTCATCTGAGGGCCCAAGCAGGGGAAGCTGCTGCTTAGTGTCAGCATTGTCGAGCTTCGCCTCCGGTGACGTTTGCAGCCGATGGCCACGGCAACAGGACAAGGACCAACATCAGCAATTTGGCGACGACCGCCGTGACGACCACAGTCAATCAATGAAGGCAACCGCGACGACGAGAGTGTTCAACAGCGCCACAACTGCCATAACGGCCAAAACGATAACGGCATCTGCCATAACGGCCTAGACTGACAGTGATGTCATCGACGACCCTAGCATCATCGCAGCACCACAGGAATTAATGGAATTGCTGTTGACAGCAGGGCCCGGACGCGTAGTGCGCTGAGCAAGGATGCCCGCTGCTCCATGCATTCATCAACATGGCCTCACAGCATCTTTCATATCTTTCCTCTGAGTCCCAGCCCAGAGCTGCCCTGACCAAACATGCCAGCGGGTCCGAGCAGCGAGGGAAAATCCGCAGCCATGACATCGGCTGGAGGTGCATACCAAGAGTGCTTTCAATCGAGACTCTTGAGCATGTACAGGTCATGCTAAGCCCCATACTACTGAAATGCTGGGGTCATCTCGACATGTGTTTCAACTCGCAGGTACGCAGGTACATCATGCACGGAGGCTTGTGAGAGACCCACGACGGGAATGGCATATTCTTCAGAGGCGTTGTGTCTTGCACTGGTTTAGTCTTCGTCCATGGGCAGCTACAGCTACAAGCACTTGACCTTGACACGGAAAGAAGCATCTCAGAAGTCGAAAGACTTACAGCATCGTCAACTCTCAGGGGCTAAACAGTAGGAAACACGGCGGAAAACTTTTTGGACCTCATCCATGCTGCATTTGATTGAGCTTGGTATGGAGGCTGCTGTGAATCCGCTCGAACGAGTCAACCTTCCGCGTCAGCAATAGGCTGGCGATGACTTGACTTGGGGTCTGGTCAACTGAGCAGAAGACCCACTTCTGCAAACCAGTGAACTGCTTGGCTTTCTCCCCCCGGCCGGAACTGACTTGCAGAAAGCCCTCAGCCAAGATCGTGGGTTCAGCACTGAGCGCTGAGAGCTTAGGTACCCACATTCCGATGGCCTCAATCCCGTCGATGCGAGCTGCGATTTTCTCGTCGAGGATCAACTGAACCAAGAGGCTTACCACCTGTCGGAAAACGGGTCACGCAAAGCGCCTTCGACACCGTGGCACATCATGTCGAAGTTCAGCTGAAATCCAACTACCCGCTGCACAAAATCGAGCCCTGGGGCCTCTTCATTTGTAACATTGATTTCCTTGGCAAGGAAGTCCAAGCTAACGCACCGGTAGGGCTTGATGATGTTCTGCAGCACCTGTTGCAATTTCGCTGAGTCTAACAGCAGCATCGAGGCTGCCAGCCACTCTGACAGCCCGGAAAGTTTGAGCTTTGTGTTGTCAGTTGACGGTTCAGCAGAGTTCAGTGAGGTCGGGTGCTCCCTGAAGCAAAACATACTAGGAAGTCCGGTCTCAGCAGTATCTCAGACACAAGCCAGTGCCTGCAAACGAATATTTCGAAGCAAGTCCTGGCAGATCATGTGATTCAACACACCAAGTAGCCGATGAAAAGCAAACATCGAGACAGTCCTGCAGATACGTACGAATGAAGGTGTCAGACAGAATCCTGTACGACGGATTTGTCAGGAGCTGGTCGATCGTACCGATGTCGTTCTGCCTCGGATGACGCAGCTGACTTGCTGATGCTTCATCGTGATGCGACCGACGGAAATTGAAAACCAGGAGCCGTGCTCGTATGCTGTCCGTAACGAGGCCATTGCACTGATTTCAGGATCGTCCTGATACACCTGCTCAGTAATGACACTGCGTTTCGGCTAAAGTCTGATCTCGATGTTCTGTTCTGGCTTGTCTCTCGCAAGTGTGACTCTGCAGCCTGAACTTAAGCCCTGTGACTTACCATGGAGGCAATGGAGGGCTGCCGTCACCCCAACGATGCCAGTGCTTTGCAAATATCCTATGGGGTGCTGGCTCGAACGTTCCGAATAAAGAGAACTGGTTCGGTTGGCACGGAAACCGTTCCCTGGGACGTGGCTCCAGCGGTGGCAACGTGCACGGCTTGTGCTCACGTCCTATTTTCCCTGACCCCCAGAACGCCAGATCCATTGTTGGGCCACCGTTTGGCCTCGGTATCTCTGAATCCTGCCAGTGCTTACGGTCCTGGGGTCTGCTGGTGGCCTCCGTCTGCTGCATGCTTCATTCTGGGGTTCCAGAGTTTCCTTCTTGCTTCAGGTTTCCTGATCAGTCATGGTCAGACCACAAACACCCACGACTGCCACCATTGCTTGCTTTTGTGCGGGTGCTCGAAATCCCAAAAGAACCGGATGCAGAGGCCAAGTCTTGAGGACGATAAACTGCACCCTGTGCATGGTGGGGCCTTGGCTTCGCGTGAATCGAAGGGATTGATCGAGGAAAGCGCCAGCATGTTTGCCAGCACCTAGCCGAGCTGAGGCAGGAGGCCTTGAGCGACTGAACATCTTCCAAGGCAGGTACCACGTACTTGAGCATGATTTTTGCTCGGCTGGCATTGCCAGTTTCTTGGTAGTTCTTGAAAGCTTCGAAGAACTCGTTGTAGGCGGCCTGAAAGCAACGTCGCGCATCCACTCATTTTCAGGTCTACGAACTCATGCACGGGTGACACTTCATGACACCTCATGTCAGTGCAGCCTCCCACTTCTTCTCACTCATGAACATTTTGCCACCACTCTCTCGGATCACAGCAATGTTTCGCGGATCCGCAATCGCCTTGGTGTTACAAGTATGACTGTGTACAAAACCTGGCCTCGAACTTCACATCAGAAGTGCTGTGGGCCGCACAGACGTGAGGTTGATGGTCTTCGGATAGATCTCCTGCTTGTGTTTGCAGCTCAATGAACATCGTGGTGATTGTTCCACATCCACAAATCCCAGGCTTCCCGTCTGCCATGAGGCCTTCATGCGCATGGAGTTCTTGGTCAGGGTGCACATCTCGCAGACACGCATCGGTCCGCTGCCGCACTCAGTGAAGGCGGAAACCCTTCCGCCTGGATCTCGAGCGCATAGACTTCGAGGAGATGCGAGCCCTGGCGAGATTGAGAGCAACCAAACCTGCGATGGACCCCTCCCACGCGAACACGGAACTGCAGCCTTGCTAACATCATCAGTGCCATCCGGCTTCTGGCAGGTCCTGTGCAGCGCCTGCCGGAAAATGCAGCAGGAGCTGCAAAGAGGCCGAGATTTGCTTTTAAAGCCGCCTTCACCAGGCGCTGCAGCTTCTGGACGTCACCTTCGGGCCCCCAAAAGGGGGTCCCCCAACGTTTCGGCCATGCTCAAAAAGGGAGAAGGACCCATCTCCAGGTGCAGCTTCGCGAGCTTTACGGAGGTGCTGAACCAGAGCCTCAGACCCGCGGGGAAGCGCCGAAGCCTGGACTTTCCTTCTCTGCCTGGCCTCTGGTTCGCGGTGGCCTTTAGGGCATCGAGGGTCAGCTCGTAAATGGTCTCCAGCTTCGTCAAGTCACTGGCAGACGACACAGAATCAAGCACCTCGGCAAACCGGCCCATGACGCTCCTTTTGTTGCTCTGAATAAGTCCGAAACAACCATGAATTGCCTTGGAAGCTGGGCTCCAGTCCGTGTTGATCGCCTCACTGGCATCATTCCTGGTCACCTTGCAACTCAGCAGCTCCAACAAGCTACAAGTAGGGCACAATCATCCGCAGAATAGCTGACACAGGCACACCTTGTCCATGTAGCTCAGCAGCTCCCGATATCGCGTGGCCATCTCCTCGAACCTCCCTATTCTGGCGCCTTGGAGTTCACATGCCCGCACGTATCCGTATGAGACCATGCTGATCCTCCAGGGCTCGAACACAAGATCACGATATTTTGGAGCGCCTTGAACCTCCAGACAACCTGAGCACAGGCTGCTGTCACAGAAGCCGACAGCGAGTTGCAAGATGATGCAGGCGAGATTCCTCGCTTCCGCGGGCGGTCTCCAGAGTAACCACCCTCTGGAACTGTTCAAGCGCCTGCGTAGCACGAAGTCTGAAGGCTGCAGCTGCAGACCTAAGGTGTGGCAACACCTGCTCCGGGTAATTCTGCTTGTTGTCATCCGCCTTGCCGCGCATAGAGACTCCAAGCCCCAGTTCCGGCAGACTGGCTGGCTGCCTCATAGAAGGTGTTCTCAATCTGGATGGCCTCTTCGTCCCCATCCTGGTGCTTGCATAAGCACAGGTGAAGTGCATCAAGTCTGTGACTGACCTCCTCCTCTTGGCCACCGTAAGGATCATCGTCGGACTCGTACTCGAATTCGTCCGAGTCAGACATCTTCTGTCCTGCGATCCACTCAGGGACGGCCACGTGAGGACACTCCCTTTGGAGGCAACTGCGATGACGGCTGCAACGAATTCAATGCCGCTCTTCGGACATTCATTAATCGGGCGGCATGCAAGCAAGAAGAGATTGATGAGCGTGAGATCAATGGCACCAGCTCTACAAGAGGGTTGACGTGATGATGACTGTCGTCCGAGTTGTGCTTAGTCAGCTGGCCTGTCTCGATCGGGACATGATATGCCGTCTCCTTCCTCTTATCTTTGACTGACACCCTGGCATACCTGCAGGCTGCTGCCTCCCGAGACAATCTCACTTCGAGGCGTGGGTCCCAGGATTCTGCGATTGTCCTGGGGGCTGGGTCCTTAGTGTGCTGCAGCAGCTGACCTTCAGAGACTGTCCTGTTTCGTCTCGAGACCCCCCCCCCCACCCATCAATAGCCAGCCATTATTTGCGGTTCGATAGCCGAGAGCCCATACGAGCATGAGAGTCAACTCGAAGAGGCAACAAGAGTCCAGCAGGTGCTCTATGGCGCCCCGCAAAAGCATAGGTTTCTGTGCGACAAAGAAATGTGCGAATTGCTGATGCTTTCCGCAGGCTCAAGCATCCTCACCGTTCTGGTCCCGCGCTCCGAGACCCTGGCAGCATCACGGCAAATTACAGTTCAGGGGTCAAGGTAGCCCGGGAAGCCTCCTCAGCACATGCTCATAGAGCTGCTAGACCTTCTCTCCTGGCTCCAGTAACCATGACAGGCACCTGGACGAAGGCAGAAGCACCCATGCAAGAAGGCTTTCCAAAGCAGGTGGCCTGGCATTCAGCTTTGGCCATGGTGACACATTGTACAAGCCAAAAAGACCAGTGAATCGGCACTCCGGCTTGGGTGCGCAAATTCGTTGACACGCAGAGCTCTCTTGCAAAACATAGCGTTGAACGTGGCTCACAACTGGCAGCATTCATTTCCACGCGCTGCTTGCTTAGGTGGCACTAAATAGTTGGCAACTACCGGCACCTGAACTTGAGAGGAGTGGTAGTCGCGTCGCTCTTTCGCGAGGGCAGGTGATGCCAGTACCCTTTCGCCAATGTGTTGCACTGGCCACCTGAGGGCGGCCAATGACTACCTAAGCTACTACTAC